TATGGATCAATTTTATGAGTTATTAATTATTTATTTTTGATTGAAACTAGCTCCTGTATCTATTAATATATTTGGTCCATTTATATTTTCTCTTCTATTATAATATTCTCCTTCTATTTTCATATTTTCAGCATTCCTATATAGGTTTATTTCTTTTATATTTTTAAATTCTTCTAACTGATTTTTATTAGGTATTCTAAGACTTTTTGATCTTTTGATTAATTTTTCATCCTTAAATGTTATATTATTAAAACATTCTCCTTCATTTAATTCTGTTATTTCAAGTTTATTTCTTGTTATACTAAATTCATATTCTTTTGGAATTAAACTTATTTGTTTATTTGGTTCAATTATTTTGCTAATAGCCTTACATTCTTTATGTATTTCAATATAAGGTTTATTGGAACAAATGTTTCCATAATTAAAATTAGTAAATGTTTATAAAGCTCTATACTTTATAGTCATAATTTGACTACCCGGTTACATGATATCATCTCTATGCAATTTAAAATGCAATCCTAAAACTTCATTAAAGTTTCTATCTTTCAATGATATACAATATTTTGTATAACATGTAAATATTATTTTTTGATTATGTCAGATTTCCTTCTATTGTTCTTAAATGGCTATCTTTTAAATTTATTATTCTTCCACCATGTAAGGTTATAGTTAAGAGTGAATCTAACCCTTCTCTAAATAATGATTTAAACATTATTTGTATTCCTGCTAAATAAACATATTGAATTTTTTCACTTTGTTTTTTACTAACCTTTGCTAACAGTTCTTCATCCATATTTTTTGTTAAAAGATTTAATTTATATTATCCATATGTCGTTCTTACATTTATGATTTTTTCTATTTTGTGATATTTATTTATTGTTATTATTTATCTCTTCCAAATTTTATCTAAAACTTCTCATTTCCCTATTTTTAAATCTAAAGATAATTTTTATAATTTTCTAAATTTATTGTTATCAAATGTAACTTTTAATCCATATCCTTCTATTCCTTCATATTCTTGTATATTTATATTATTATTTTCTATATCATCTATTTCCTTATTCAAATTTTGATTTATCATCCTCTGTTTTACTTATATAAACTTCTTGATTATAATATTTTTCAATGTCTTATATTTCACTCAATTCATCTTTTATTTTCAAATATTCTTTTTGTAATATTTTAACTTTCTTTTTATCACAATCAGGGCATATATGACATGTTTCTCCACAATACCAACATTTACATTTACACTGACTTTTATTTTTCTTATAACTTTTATTTTTTTGTTGATCATATGAGATATTTTTTCTTTTATAATATCTTCTTCTAGATTTTATATATTTTTTATTAAAATTTCTAAATTTTTAAAAAAATTTATTTTTATATTTTCTTTTATTAATCCTTCTTTCAGAATTGAATCCTCACTGTATAGGATTTTTCATATCTTCACAATATATTCTAGTTAGTTTTCCTATTTTTTTCATTAATTATTTTTGTTGACATATATATGCAAGTCTTTCAAATAAGAATTTTATTCTTGAACCTAAAGTCCTCGGTATTCCAACATTATCTCTAACATATTTTTCAAATTCTATTTTAAAATATACTCCCCATGAACCTGGTAATTTATTATAATACATATCTTGGTATATTTCTTGATTCTCATTACTATAAAATTGAATATAATAATAATTTCTAAATTCACAAGTATATTCTTTAAATTTACGCATATCACATATTGTTAAATTATTAGTTTAATTCTAGCATTGTCTTTTTTTCTTATTTCTTCTCTTTCAACATTTTTTATCCAGTTTTCTCCTAAAAATTCATCTGAAATTTATTCTACTAACTTTTCTATACCTTGTCTATCTGATTTTATTATTTTTGTTTGTATATCTCTTTTTATCAATATTTTTGTCTTATTACTTATTTCTTTCCACCAATTTCTAACATCTCATTCAAAGTATGTTATTAAGAAATCTATTCTTCTTTCAGTATTTTCTCATGTGTCATCTTTATTATATAAAAAGAATAATATCATTGAATCTGCCCAAGTTAATAAGACTTTTTTAGTATTTATTTTACAATTTAAATCTAATTTTGTTCCTCCATGATTAATAGGTTTATCATAATTATCATTTAATTCAAACTCCTCTATATATATATATATATATATATATCTGTGTGTGTGTGTGCGCGCGCATAACTTTCATCTAAATCTTTTAATTCTTGTTTAGAAGTTACTGTTGGATTAGGTCCTCCTCTAGTATTCATTAAAACTTGGTATTCGCTTATATCACTTAAACTTAATTGATCAAAATTTTCTATAAATAAGTCTAATTCCTCATTCATCTTTATCTTTTTTTTCTTGTACTTTTAATTTTCCTAATATTTTTCTCTAAATTCTTCTTCTAATATTTTTGGTAATATATTTTTTCTAAATTCATCATTCATACTTCTTGTTTCTATTATTACACTATCTTTCTCAATATATTTCTTTTTCTATTAATTTTTTATCTATTTTCTTTTCTTTTATTTCTCTAATTTCAATTTTTAATATATTTATATCATTTCTTGTTTCTCTTACTTCATTTCTTAAATCTTGTATATTATTTATTAACATTTTTATTAATGACTTTAATTCTTTCATATATTCACTTATTGACATAATAAAATCATCTTTCTAACATATAAGTTAATTTACATCTTTTATCTTCTTTTTTATCTATTATTATTCCAAATCTTCTATTAGCTATATCTGTATTTACCAATTCTTCTTTTACTATATTAAAATATTTACTCTTAAGTCTTAATCTTTCACATTTTAATTTTATTAATTATCTTTTATTTGATACTTTTATTCTTTCTGGTATTAACATTATATCTCGTATTTCTTCTTGCATTTTTTTCATTTTTATAATTGGCTTATTCAATTTCAAATTAGTATTATTATTCATACTTCTCTTTATAATATAAATTAATCTCTTCATCTTCATATTCTTTAATAATTTTTTCATACATATATATTTCTTTTATCAATTATATTATTAATTTTTCTAATATTTTTTCTTTTATTTCTTTAGGTAATTCTTTAACTATTGTTAATGTCATTATTTTTAACTTATTAGAAATAAGTTTTAAAAATATATTACTTCCTCTTCCTTCTTCTAATTTATAATAATTATCTATTTTTCTTATTTTAATTTATATGATCTCTATGGCTCTGATACCAATTAGGGCTGCTACTTAGAGCGAACAAAAATCAAATAAATCTCAAAAATCAAATAAATCTATAAAAAATAAATCTATCAAGTAATATTTAATTTTAAGAACTAAAATGCAAGATTTCTATATTATATTAACTTGTTGTGCAATATTCAAAAGGAGGGGTATTTTAGGTATCTAAATAAGTCAAAGGTTATTTTGGAAAATGTCCTCTTTGTTTAAGGTCATTTCCATGTATTTCCCGTCAAAATTACCGGTCGACCCGGCCTGGCTAGTCCGATTTTGACAACATTGGGAAAAAAAAACTGAAAAGATATGTGAATTGTGAATGTGTGTATTTATAGTATATATACATTAATATATATAAATGTACTACTTTTTGGTAGATATTTATTATTTATACAATAAATATAATATGTGAAGAAATATCTAATTTAGATGAATTGTCCAATTGAAAATTTGTGTGGAAGGTCGAGGTTCGCGTCACATCCTACATCATAATAATAATAATAATAATAATAATAATAATAATAATAATAATAATAATAATAATAATAAGTTTTTAACTGGGCTTCATTGATTAAAATAATATTTTTTATTTATTTTAATCATTTTCAAAATCATTTAATGGCAAATTAACCAATATAATACACTCGTTTTTCAACAACCCATTATCTACATTTCCTTAAAAATTGCAAATCTTTCTGGATCATGGTGGACGCAGTTATATATATTCAGCCTATATAAACACTCATCTGATTTTGAAAAAATCACATCAAAAATGAAATTATAATTTTAATATATATTTTCTGCAATACACTTGAAAGTTTCGAAACTATTCGTGACTGCTGCACAAATGATTTGTTTAATGGTTATATCCCGTGAGTGATTATTCATAGAGTTCGAAACAGTTATCGGCAAACAATTTCACTTTAGGATATCGTGCTGTCATGGGACCTGATAGGTCGATAAATTTTATCTTTTGTATTTTACTATTCTGCAAATTAATGCAACTAGTTACTTTCCAACACTTTTAACCTATGGCTGAGAGCTTTGCATTACAGGCGCCAATGTTGGGAAGAAACGGAGGTTTCTCTATACAGAGAAGCCCTTTCGCGCGTTCTATAGCAGAAAATAGGGTGTTCTGATTGGTACAATGTTTAAGTTATTTAAATCTACGGTCCCTAAATTTTTTGTAATTTAGTTTTAAGAAAATTTTAGTTTTACAATATAACTTTCAGCATTTAGTCCGCGAGCTTTTAAATTTGGTGCTTTCAATTTTCAAAGTTTAATTTGCATAATCATCCCAAGGTTAATTTTCATCATGGCACAATCATCCTTTCTTTTAAACTTTTTCTAATTAATTTTTAACACCATTTAAATTTGAATTCATGAGATTCACGTGTGTTTAACTAAAATATACTGAGAAAACGATTTTAACACCAAAATCGTAATTTGAGGTCACTTGTGTCAATGAAAGAATGGGTCCCAATTTCGCGCAAGATGAAAATAATCGTCCCGGAGACAATTGTTGATCCATTATTTTATTTTTTTTCTAAAACTTAATTACTTGAGATGTTCAGAAAACTTGAGTGATTAAACTGTTACAAAAGCAAACTTTCGTACTAAAATGAACTTTTTTTCAAACTTCAAAATAAGTATATTTTTCATTTATAAGTAGAAATAATAGGTTATCTAAATAAGTTTCTAGATAAAAATAAAAATAAAAATAAAAATTACGTTAGAGTCACTTCTATATTCTATGATCGCAGTAAAAGTAAAATAACAAACCCATTATCGAAATATCCTTCCAAACACCAAGTTGAATGTGCTAGAGTATCATGTCTCACGAGGCGATCCAAAAAATATTGAAGTTCGACAGAAACCCAAGCATTAGCTGAAGTAGAATTGAATTGAAGGGGAAAAAATTAAGTACATATTTCATAGACAGTATTAAACGTCCCTGCCAAACATGTCAGTGCTCGATTGCTAATTCCTCCCATCATAATGAGACTGAAGCTTGCTTTACGCCCACACAGAAAAGACTAGTTATGCCAAAATTGTCGAGAATTGACTTGATTGAAAAAACCAGTAACGATTTAAACTCCGGCAGTCACAAGAAAGGTTCCTTCAACTCCGTTTCCGATGAATTATTCAGGAATCATCTGCTCGTTGTCAGCATCACCTTCTTCCTCGATTTTAGGCTTCGATGGACCTTGGCTTGCTCCGGGCGCCTGCTTCTTCTTGATTCCACTTACTATATCATCAATTCTCAAAAGCATACAGGCCGCTTCTATAGCAGTCTTAAATGCTTGGGCTTTCACACTGTACGAATCCCATATCTATAAATACACAGATAAGATCATCAGACAATACATGGGAAGCTGTACATATACAACTCTACGAACTAAGAAAATTTATAACTCAAAACACTTCCGACAATTACGGAAATAGATTATCAGAGTGAACCAAAAACAAGGAAAAGAAGATATACAAAAAACCATACCTTGCACTCTTTCATATCAGCAATTACACCAGTATTCCCATCTATGCCAATCCACGTGTTCTCACCATTTGCATGCTATAATATAAGAGGCAATGATACTTTTTACACTTCAGATCTAGTATTGAACTGAAACTAAACAAAAGAAAGGAGATTTTACCTTTCCTTGCAAGGCGGTCATTGTTCTAATGACATTGACCCCACAGTTCTGTGCCAAAGTACGTGGTATAGCCTCAAAAGCAATTGCGGCAGCCTCATAAGGCCACTGTTCAGCATAACGCACAAAATCATATATTGGAAAGTTAATTCAGAGAAATGATTTTAAGTTTTCTATAAACTATAAAATATATGCAGTAGACGTGCAAGCTAATAGCTCAACATGATTTCATCGTTCCAAGAACAAATTGTTATTGGTCAATGAGCAGAATAGATTAGTGAAGTGTTCCAGAAGGTTGTGTTTATTAAATGTGTACAGATTCTATAACATCCTTATCACTATTCTACATGGCAGTCTGATTCATGAACCTTAAAATAATTTCTTTTTCTTTTTCTTTTTCTTTTTCTTTTTTAATGAAAAGCAAGTTAAAGTCTCGACAGTTTCTAATCTATCCTTCCCCTGAAAATCGATGACTATTCATAGTTATTACGTGGAGATCAAATAAGAGCCTGAACCAATGCTTAATTTTTGTTCTAGTTGATCCTGATTCAACATTAGCAAGTGATTTGTTTGATGGGCAGCATTGACGAACAGAAGATGCTAAAATCTAGTTTATTACCCTGAACAGTCCTGTACAATATCGAACACCAAACATGAACCTAGAAGCATATAGATTTTTCCCCAATAATTATTGAATCAAATGTGTCCAAAATTCTGTTCTGGAGTCTAGAGGTACATGTGGTTATTCAAAGCTCAAGGGATTTTTTGATAAAAAAAAATAAATAGTTGATGCATCCAGAACAGAGCATGCTAGATAACGGCTTCACCTTTTCTATGCCCTCAATAGAAGAACTTCTTTGCTTCAATGTAGCTGAGACAGTCAACTCTGTAGCACCTCCACCAGGAACAAGTTTCGGATTTTTTATTATGTTTCTTGCTACTGACATTGCATCCTGCGCATAGACATTTTGAAACTCACAATGACCACTCTGTCCAAGGAACTAAATATTAAAGACATTTGGTAGACAGTAGGACTAGAATATTGTCTATTACTGTTGAATACACCATACCAAAATGCCATTTGGGTACAAGAATCAAAGATACCTGCAAATTTCTCTCCACTTCATTCAGAAGATCCTTGCTGGCACCCCTCAAAAGTACCGTGCATGCTTTTGGATCTTTGCAGTCAACTATGAAAGCGAAGAACTCATCTCCAATTTTCTTCACCTCAAACAGACCAGCACCAGTACCAACATCAGATTCCTGCAACTCATCAGGCCTGTTAACGATAACGGCCCCAGATGCCTTGGCAATTCGGTTATTGTCGGTCTTCCTCAGCCTTCTGATAGCACTGACACCGGCCTTGCTAAAATAATGGCAGGCCAAATCGCTGAGCCCCTTTTCTGTAATTATCAAATCTGGTTTGAACTTCAGTATTTGCACGCATAGGTTTTCAATGTATTCCTCTTCCATTTTTAGCAATACACTCCAGTCTTCTTCTCTCAATAATTCCGCATTGGTTTGGTTCTCTCCTTTCTTGTACTCGAGGGGGCAATCAAGAAGAATGATTCTTGGGTTCAGTATTTTTCTTCTCATTTTACCAGGAGCAACAACATCCTTGTTAAACATGACTCCTTTCAGAACTTTTGAATCCTCCAACTGGCCACCAGGAACCTTCTCTATCTTAATGTACTTTTTGATATCCACCTCACGCAAACCTTGGCCAAGATCCACACCTACCGTGGTCGTGGCATCAATTGCTAAATCCTGAAAGTTTCACCAGAAAAAAAGATCCTTTGGGTCCTACTTGAATCAAAATATAACACATAAAACAATCTGCTCGAATGCTTGAATTTTTTAGATTTTCTCAAGAAGTCATAATTCTGTGTGATCTCATGTTTAACAAGAGAAAGACCGCACACAACTAAAATTCTTAATAATATAGCCTTAGATATCAAATGCGGCCAGCATAGACTTCTGTTTTCAAAGACGAGAAATTTAATCCATCAAGGTATAGTGTATACAGACGTAGAGAGTGAAGACAGAGAGAAAGAGGAGGGATGTTGAGACAAGTTACATTGCATGAACTGTAATACAAGATAGAATACTTACTGCTATCAGATCCCCAAACTGACCAGTAAATTTTGTCCCAATACAACTCTTGACAAGATCTAACATTGTTGCACCTGCCAGATGATAATATTCTGTAATCCATAAGTATAAAAGAATAACTACACACATTAGAACTAAGAGAGAGAGAGAGATGGTGATCTCGAAAAAAATGTAAACTAAGCCTTCCACAACAAAAATGATGTCAGGAAAACAGAGAATCCATTCAAAAGCCTAATGCAATATATAACTTTAAGTTGAGAGACCCCCGTCACTACCATCCTAATAGGACGTTCAGCCAGATGAGTGGACTTAATCTGACGCATAAACCGACTGCCATAGCATGAATACATCAGTACTTGTATAAGCACATGAGAGTACGTCAACTGTTCGAGAGATTCAGTAAAAAAAAACTTCTAAATTTGAGACAAAAGCTCCACTACATGATGTTTAAACTTGCCATCATGGGGACTTTTTTTTCTTAAAAGAACTTCAGCGCACTCCTTGTTCCATCAAATAATTAGTAAATGTGGATATGTGTCTCTCCTAAAGTTCAAAAAATGAATTCTTAGGTAAATTTATATCATATTTGATAAGATGCCCATTAATTATTACAGTATCTTTATTTCAGTATCTTCTCCTTAAACGTGGAGGCAGATCTACTCAGTCTCATTTAAGCAGCTAGCAACAACAGAGATTTCGGACATCTAACTTCTCAATGAAGGATCGGATGCCCTAACAAAGATATGAGACGATCAGAACGACTACCAACTGCTAGGTTTCTAGTTTCTAGCATACTTCCGACCTCAAGGATTACACCGAAACAACTTTATACTTAACCAATATTTTGTGGTTCCTATCTTCGAGTTCAAAAATAATTCTGCCCACAAGACCTAGTTCTTTGGTGTTCTCTAGCAAGCCGGCCAGCCAAGATTGTTGGGGCAAGAAATATCATATAGACAACAGTACAAATATTCTGGTGGCTACAAGCATAAGGTAGAGGACAAAATATTCTAATGACATAATATGAATTAACGAAAATACGGAAGGATAAATGGGCTTTATGCATTTTGAGGAAAAGAGTGTGACTTGATCACAGGCTTCTTCAGTCTTGACTCAAGTAAATCATTCTAAAAAACATGAAACTTCCGCAAACTTTAAAACAGGGACAGAAAATAATGAAGTGAAACTTACGATCCTTAACGTCAACAGTCATTGCAATTTTGTCAAGCACTGCAATTGAATCCTCAAGAGCTTTGTTATAAGCTACAGTGCAGTCACATAGGAAAATTGTCACCCAGGAGAACAGGAAAACTGAAAATAAAAAAGTATTCTAATATTACCTCGACAAATGACTGTAGGATGATATTTTTTGTCAATGAAGGCTTCCGCAACATGGAGCATTTCACCAGCTTCAATAAATAAACGTTATTCAAAAGTTAAGCCATTATCACAACCATCATTGTATGTAATATTCTCAGTTTGTGTTTCTTTGAGTCACATTTCAATGCCAAAGCACTGCAGCCAGAACCACCATGATGCCACGCTACAGTTATCTAAAGCAGCATATTGTAGGTTTTAGCCAATATTTGGGGCTTTTGATTACAATTCAATTGCAAGCTAAAGAATTTTTTCTGTAGTGTGAGATTGAATGATGAAATAAAAAGAAGGGGCATTAAATGATCAAAACACATGGCTCATTTTCATTTTTGCAGGTGGATAGTTAGAGAAGAACACCCAAGAAATCAATCTCCATTCACACTGGTTTGAAAAATCGATGACATGTGTTTTTCTTTTTATTTTTTGAATTCCTTCCCTCAGTCTGTAACTGATCTTCAGTAGATCAGAGACACCTTCACTGTCAGAAATTTGTGCGGGTACTTTCACGCACACACAGAGCAGTGGGGCTAGTTTTACAGAGCAAAGATGCAAGATGGTTGTAAATATTTCTATTCCTTTTGTTTGGTCAATAACTTGTATTTATACTTAAATGAGGTTTCCGAACAAACTCAATTAACCAATTCTCCCCTGGGGGAGGAAAGCAGCAAAGGAGGGCGCAGAATATGTAAAACTAGCCCCACACACAGGGCAGTGGGGCTAGTTTTACAGAGCAAAGAAGCAAGATGGTTGTAAATATTTCTATTCCTTTTGTTTGGTCAATAACTTGTCTTTATACTTAAATGAGGTTTCCAAACAAACTCAATTAACCAATTCTCTCCAGTGGGGGAGGAGAGCAGAAAAGGAGGGCGCAGAATATGGAGTTGGAGTTGGATTTTGGGAGAGGAAGTTGGTCTTTTTTCCCTCTCTCTTCTTCTCTTTCTTTATTCACAAATACATCCTTACTAATGTGAGAAGATTTGTTGGGTCTAAAAATATGAGGAAGTTGATAACCAACTGCATGTAACGGGTTAGCATAACCCCACATGTACATCATACATACATACTGTAAAGAAACCAATTGATGTAAGCTCAGTCTTTACCAAGAACAATGACGGATGTTGTTCCATCTCCTACTTCCTCATCCTGAGTTCGACTTAGTTCAATCATTGACTGCCACCGTATCAGCAAAAAAATGCATATATATCAAAAGGCAAACAAGAAAGAGAGTAAAGTGTTAAATATTAGATTTGGAGTACAATCAGATGTCAGTAGAAGTCAGACCGCTTAAAGAGATATACCTTTGCCGCAGGATGTGCAAGATCTAACTCGCGGAGAATAGCATTACCATCATTTGTCACAACAATACCTAATGTGTGGAAAATAAGGAAATTTAATCACAGACAAAATTGACATGTGGAAACAGATCACCTAGTTATACAAATCAAGATGAATATCAGTTGTGACACTCCTTGAGAAGTATAGCATGATAAGCACATCTAACAATAGTAGTAGCAAGTAATGAATCCTAATAGCTGCCTCCTCAATCCAAAGTAATGTAACAAGCAACTGAATGATAAGATGCTTCTACATCCCACCCAGAATATATTGTTTTAATGCCTCACCTCAACCCTCCCCCATCTTTCCTCGGGTTAACTGAGCCGACAGTGGATGGAAAAAAATACATTAAGGGTCCGTTTGATTGTATAGATGGAATTTGGGTGGAAAAAACCTGAAAATTGTTTTCCTGTGATTGGTATACTTTTCCACGTGGAAAATATTGAGATAAAAGTGCTTTTGAGTGTTCGTTTGGCTTTGTTTTACATGAAAATTATCAATTAAAGGGATAAAATTTATTGGTATTGGAGATAGAATTTGTTTCTATAGATAAAAGAAAAAGAAAAAAAAAGTAAAGAAAATCATCTATTTTTGGGTGTTCGTTTGGCTTTATTTTACATGTAAATTATCGATTGAAGGAAAATATTTTTTTACAATTAGGAATAAAATTGTTTCCATTGCAAAAAAAAAAAAAAAGGCTGTCAACAGTTGGTTGGAAAACCAAAAAAAAACCAATTTCCAAGAAAAGCAAGCAAAACAAATTCCATGGAAAATTTTCCATGGAATTTGTTTTGCTTGCTTTTCTTGGAAATTGGTATTTTCTTGGTTTTCCACCCAACTGTTGACGGCCTTTTTTTTTTTTTTTGAAAAATTTTTTTTTCTTTTTTAAAAAAAATATTTTTTTTAAAAAAGAAAAAAAAATTTTTCAAAAAAAAAAAAAAAAAAAAAAAAAAAAAAAGGCTGTCAACAGTTGGTTGGAAAACCAAGAAAATACCAATTTCCAAGAAAAGCAAGCAAAACAAATTCCATGGAAAACATAGGCTATCAAACACCAAGAAATGGGTGGAAAATTTTCCATGGAATTTGGCCCTATCAAACATGGCCTAAGTTGAATCTTTCATGAAAACTGCAATTCTTATTTAAATGTTTTAAATAAGAAGATATAGTTCACAAAATCACCTCCAGAAGCATCAAGTAGCATCTTCAGCATGGATCGGGGACCCAAAGTAGTACGAATAATATCAGCAACAGCCTGTTAAGGAAAATTCTAAGTACCGCGCAGATAAGTCCTTAAGGATGTCAGAAACAAACAGTCCAACAACGTAATAGACATCCATTTTTTTAAATTTAGCTAGAACAGTGTTACGGATGGAAAAATTAGCCAGATGACATGGAGATTTTTCAAACAAATCCTAACCTAAGGACATTTCGAGAACGTTTTCAGGAAACTCAAAGGCCTATTAAAGCTGGCTCATTCATGCTAGTCATCTTAAAGCTACACAAATAAAACAATCCCCTCCATACCAACTAAAAATGAGAGAGAGAGAGAGAGAGAATATACTACTTGATGCAAAAAGTAAACTTCAATTCAATAAGCCTCATAAAAAAAATCGCATGTCTAACTCAATAAATTTACTCCTTGTTACACTTGTGATATAGACAGACCCAAAAACATGAGCAGATACAGATGTGCAAAAGGAAGACAAGAATTCACTCTACCTTTGATGCTTGGATATTGCCATAGTGCACCTTGTTGCCAGATTCCCGCTTCAGTGAATCCTCTGCTCCATGAAATTAAAATTACCATCAGCCAAAGAAGAGGGCTTAATATTTTATTGTATAACTTGAGAACAAAGCCTCCAAAAATCTGGCTTTTCCTTTTGTTGAAAGTACGACTACTGGTACTGTATGATCAAAAAGGAACTATCCAAACAGTTATAATTTAGATCAAAACGCTGCAAGTTTACTATAATAGCTAGTTCACTGTCCACCACTCCTGCTTTTCACTAAACAATAAACCTTCACTCACCGCCTAAGATTGCACTTCAAACTACAAGCCAGCATTCTACCAATGCATTTAATTACATAAATCAAGCTTAGAATAAGAATTTCTATTACTCTAATCAAGACAAAATCCTCCCTTTCCTCCCCCCTATCCTGTAAGATTACAAAAGGAATCCAATCTTCGTACGAAGGAATATATATAACGCCGATACTTAGATTCATCAAATTAATTTATATCAAACCATATAAATTAAAGTGTTCATAATTTTTCCAAATATCTCCCGCGTACAAATCTAAGCAAGAGGAGGACAACACTTACTGAGAACGAGAACTGGGGACTGCATTTTCTGCTTCGATTTTAACTCCGATCCAAAGAAAAAGTAGAATACCTGCACAGAGAGCAACTGTAGAGATATACTGAAGTATTAGGGCTTTTCGTAACCTCGTGTAAGTTTTCAATGAAATAGAAAAGTGGGAAATGATCCAACCGATCCGGTTCTCGGTTAACAGTAGCGGAATATTATTTTGAATTATTCTGCAGGTATAGATATTTTTATCAAATTTTATATATGGGACGGTCGTCTCCCAATGATTTGCTGTTGTGAAAAATTATTTTTGACAGTAATCAATTCCTTTGAGACAGTTATTTTCCTATATAAAATATGTTAAAAAAAAAATCTATAATTATAGCATTTCTCTATTATTTTGGAATAGAACTGTACAAAAAAATCACAAAACAACAAACGGAGCCGAATTCGTTCAAATTTTATATATGGGACGGTCGTCTCTAAATGATTTGCTGTTGTGAAAAATTATTTTTGACAGTAATCAATTCCTTTGAGACAGTTATTTTCCTATATAAAATATGTTAAAAAAAAAATCTATAATTATAGCATTTCTCTATTATTTTGGAATAGAACTGTACAAAAAAATCACAAAACAACAAACGGAGCCGAATTCGCTGGTTTGGGTCCACTTAGACCCACAATTTTTTTCTCTCTCAAACCATTTCAAAATGGTATTGTCTAGGTCTCAATTTTCAAAAACCACATGAAACCAAACCGGATCAAACTTTTTTTAATTAAAAAAATATTTTTATGAAATTATAAATTCTTATATAAATTTTTTATTAAAGTATAGTTTTTAAAATTTAAAATGTAAACCACCTACGAAATGATACCCCCAAATTAGATCCAGTAAATGTTTCACCGGTGAAAGATATCAACAACAACCCGTCTTTAAATTTACGGTCCAAGCCCCAAAAAAACAAAAAAAGGCTAAAACCCAACTCAAAGCCTCAAATCCAAAACCTAGATATCCATTGTTTTAGGTGGAAATTACACTCCCACTGTACTTTTAAAAATTTTTATTCTAAAATCATATAGAAAGTTTCGATCTTCAAATATCAGATGTTTTATTTTAATCAATATTTTTACTAAATATATATACTCCATTACACACACATCACAAACCCTAATTAATTTTCACTCTCCTCTCTATCTCTCTACATTTATCCATTCTCTTTCTATGTCAACCCGTCGCCTCCCTCCATTCTCTCTCTACACAACTCATCGCCCCTCCATTCTCTCTACACTACTAGTCGCCTCCAGCAATCTCGAACTTTCCACATTTCTGTCTTCGCCCAATCCAATCACCCACCCTCTATCCATTTCACCTCAGAATGAGCGAATCGCTAGCGACTGTATTTGCGAAGCAGATCTACTACCAAGGTGCGAAGTGGTGTTTTATGTGGTGGTGATGATATTTGTGTGGTGGCGGTGTTGTGGAGGTGGCTGTGGTGGCGGATTTTCAGAGCATGCGAAGTGGTGTTTTATGTGGAGGTGATGACTTATGTGATAGTGATGTTGCAGTGGTGGCGGATCTAGCAATGTCAATATTCAAAGGGATGTGTGTGTGTCGGTGGTGATGGTGTTTGTGTGGTGGAAGTGATTTGTTTGAGGGGTGGTGTTGCTGTCGGGAAGTGGTGGTGGTGATTTTGGCGGCGACAATAACTATGGTGCTGCTAGTGACAGTAATGAGGTGATGGTCGCAAGTGTTGGTGGTGATCACAAATTATTTAGTTGATTGTGAATCTGTGATCAATAACCAAGATATGACCGATGAAAAAAATAAATTGTGACAAAAAAATAATGTGACATAAAAAAATTTTAATTGTAACCGATAATTTGTGATTATCTAATAAGTTGTGACTTATAATATATGTGATTTGTGACCAATAAAAAATAAATTGTGACATATAAATTTTTTGATTTGTGTCCTAAAAAAATTTCGAATTGTGACTGTAAAATAATTTTTGACATATAAAAATTTTGATTTGAAATCGAAAAATAATGTGACTGATTAAATTGTTAATTTGTGATCAAATTGTATAGATCTGTGACTTAATATATATAATTAATTAATTAAATCATAAATAAAATTTATAAGTATCTGATTTTTGAAATTTGAAATATTTGTTCTTCGTTTTGAAATCGATGATCCTTATCCTCTTATTTATGAATTTTTTGCTCATTTCATTCCTCAATTTTCGAAAATTTGCATCTCCATTGTTTCGAGGAGGCGGAAAGGGGTGGGGAACTGGGTTAGAAGCAGGGTAATGAGGTGGAGGAGGGAGGTGGGTGACCCAGTACGTTTCCCGGGGTGATTTTGGAATTTAATTTTTTTTCTTTTTTTTTTTTTTTACTGAATTTAACTACGAATAATTATCATGTTCCTCTTATTGTTATTACTTCTTTTTTTCCTCGCTAGTATAAATAATGGTTAAATAGTCAACTATGCAATAATGTTATTTAATTAAAATTACGATTTAACAATGACTCAATGATTCAACCACTGACTTGGTGACCCGATGATTTTTCCAAGTCGGATTTAATAACTATGTATATATGTACATACAAATTACGATCCACAATTAAATTCATGTATGCTTTTAGTATGTGAGATAAAACTTGATCATTAACCCTATAATCAATCAACTTGCCGATAGTTGATACTTTAATTATGGAACTCACTCTTTATTGTCCACTAAAATTGACTAAATTTCAATACAAGCCCTTGTTTGAGCCACATTCTTTTGATAATAATGAATTTTTGGATAGTGTATTGATGAAAAATATGTGGTTAAAAAATAAGGAAAAAATTTAAATTTACATGTAATATTATCTATTGAATAATGTATTATTGAAATGATATCAAAATACTCTTTAAAAATGTATTTTTTTTCAAAGAATGAAAATCAAATAGGGGCTAAATTAAAAAAGGGAAATGAAGAATTGATGTTTAATGTTTCTCTGTTTATATGATCGGATGCCTAAATGAAGACTAAATGATGGAATCGCGAACATAACATATTATTCTTAAACTTTAAGTTCGAATAATTGTAGTTTTTGTGAGATTTATCAAATAATTTATTGCGTATTGTATCACCAAGGTGCTTCTTTTCCCTAGCTTAATTTCCTCCGTTGTTTCTTTTCTTTTTTTCAGATATGAATCCAACTCTAGAAGAAGCCGATAATGCAATTCCACTAGAAGATGACCCTGAAGATATGGAAATGGATGGAAAAGTTAAAAAGAGAAACAAAAGGTCCGAGGTGTGGGAACATTTTAAAATTCGAGGAGATGAAATGGCAGAATGTAATTATTGTAGACAAAACATATAAGCATTATGCAAAAAACCGAGGAACTAGTACATTGTGGAATCATATCACGCATTTGTGTAAAAAGTATCCATGCCGAGTTCAAGGTAAAAAGCAAAAGAGAATTATTTGTTTCAATATGTTTAAAACCGGTAAACTTTCTAAGGGTATTGATAGACATGAAGAATCTGTCAAGTTTATTCAAATAGAAATTAGAAAACGAATTACAAGGTACTTCATATTGTTTGAGTTACCTTTTTGACGAGTGGAAAATGAAGGTCTTCTATGTTATACAGATATTTTTTTCCCAAAAATTTGTAATTCCTTCAAGGATGACAATAGCAATAGATATATATAACTTGCTTCTAAATGACAAGAAGAAATTGAAGAAAGAGTTGGGTCAACATAGAGTTTGTTTGACTACTGATTGTTGGACGTCAATATAGAATATTAGTTATTTGTGCTTAACTGCTCATTAGGTTGATAATGATTGAAGACTTCAAGGAAAGATTATAAGTTTCATTCAAGTCCCAAGCTATAAGGGAGACATGGTGAGAAATGAGTTGACTTCTTGTCTTAAAGACAAAAGAATCAATAAAATTAAGTGGCTTAAAGTATGTAACTTTCTATAAGTTTCTTGAGGACTTTCTATGAAACGACTTTAAAATTTAGTGGCTCGAAGTATGTAACCTTTAACTCTTTCTTTCAAGAAATAGATGAAATTCATGGATAATTGAATGAATTAGCTAAAGAGTCTAACACTTTGATGGGATCCATGTCAATTAATATGCAGAAAAAATATGATAAGTACCGGGCCAATGTTGAAAAGTTTAATTAGTTGTTGTTCATTTCAACATTTCTTGAGCCAAGGTGTAAGTTGGAACTTCTTAAAGTCGGGTTATAACTTATTTACGATGTAGAAATTGCAAAAATGTTGTGAAAAAGAGTTGAAGAAATACTCCACAAGTTGTATGCATGCTATAAAGAAATAGCGACCCCAATCACTCCACCATCGACTTCATCAAATGAGACCACCAGAAATAGTAGTTCAAGTCCTTCACAGCTTGTTTTTGGTCTTTCTGAACAGTTTCTTTCTACTTTTAAAGCTAAACTTATGGAAAACATGCAACTTGAGAAGAATGATTTGATTGATTATTTGTATGATCGTTGTAAAGATCTGATTAATCCCAAATTTGACATACATCGATAGAAAATTGAATGTGCGCAAGGACAAAAATTGCCTCCAAAATTGCCAAAAATGTATCAACAATTCAAATATCCACGGTCACTTCAGAGTCAGCATTTTTCACGAGTTGTCAGATTCTTGACTCTTTTAGGAGTTCATTGGGTGCAAAGATGGTTAAGGCCTTAACATGTATGTAGAATTGGTTGCATAGCATCAATGAACCTACAGTGATTTATCAATATTTGGATGACTTGGAGTAAGCTATAGAAGGTGACATTTGTTTTCTATTATCGATTTTGATATTTTTATGCATATTATTTACTAGTTGCTTGTTAATATCATTAATAAGGATTAGTAAATATTTTGATATTTGCATATTATATAGAAGTTGAATCATGTGTTACAATAGGGGACATTGATCCAATTTTTATTAAATGAGATGTTAGTTCTTTTGTACTTATTCCGATATTGTTGCTTGTAAAAGTTTGAGTACAGTGCTTGTTGCTAGATGCGAACTTAATAATATTTTTTTTGCCTTTTTGTTTATATATTGAATTTCAGATAAATATGAATATAATTTAACATTATTAATTCTCATTTAAATTTATATGTTAATTTTTTCAAACATATTATTATAATGTCGATAGGAAAATTGCGGATTAAAACTTAACTAAACCACAAATAATGGTTTGGTTTGATTTGAAAAATAAAATTATTTGGTTTGGTTTGGAAAAATTCAAAATCGCAAGAAATGATTTAAGTTGAAAATGTAACACAAACCGCCAAAACCAAACCTTGTTCACCCTAATTTTTGGGCTTATTTGCACAAAAGGATTTACGAATCAGGACCTGATCGTTTCAAATTTGACATTAACATCCTCATAGAAACATTTAAGTGTGAAAATAGTCCATGTCAACCATCCCTAACCCAAAATGCATTTAACCCATGTCTTCTAGCTAAGATCGAACATAGTAGGTCATCTTTTGCATCTGGGTCATTAATTTTCAAATTTGTGCAATTATATCACTCATCTTCAATTTGCTTGCAATAATTTTAGTAACTAGATTTGCAAGTAAATTGAAGTTGAGCGACTTGATTAAACAAAATTAAGCTAGGTGACCTAAATGCAACTCGTTGAATGTTCACTTACCAACAATGCATTTAATCCCATTATTTTTAATTTAAATATATTTTAAGTTGATTAAACATATTTACCATCTTTAATTTAAAAAAAAATGTCTTAGTTTTAAACCTTCAACATCAACTTTGTTATATTTTAGTATTGTGATAATAATACTTTGATTTTCTATAATAATGTAAAATAAACATGAAGAGTATGAAAATTAAAATTAAAGCAAATGCTACTATTGAATGAGCGATATAACAGTTTTATAATCCTTATTAAACCATTATAATACATATTTATGTTAATTTATTTATCATTTGTTAATTGTATTCAAAAAGGACAAAAAAAAAAAAAGATAAATATTACAAAAATTAGAAGAAATGTATAGCATGTCACTTAGGTTCCATCAAGTTCGTTCATCGTGCGATCAAGTCATTCAACTTCGATTTGCGCAAAATTGACTGCACCGCCCACTTCCTGCTGCTGCTAATTACACTGGATTGATGAGCCAGAAATGTTTAAAAAAATAAAAATAATTAAAGTTGCATACTCATTTGCACGAAATTAAAGATGAGTGATTCAGATGCAACTCCACAAAAAGTCGGATGTCCCACAACGCATTTAACCCCTCAATAAACGCTATAAAAAATGCCGAAGAAGGTCAAAATGTCTAAAAGACAAATGATGAAGCAAACATTTCCCTGTTGTAAGATTCAAATCAAAATCAAGAATATCCATTAAATACAACTTTGTTGCTCCTAGTTTCCCGCTGATCATCTTCATTTATTTGTACACCACTACAGCTCCAAAATATATTCCCAGAATCCTACTTAAGGAATCAGCAATCGATCACGATAAAATTGTGTGTAACGATTCGATTTTAGTAATGAAGAACATATATGCACTTAGTAACCAATCAATGAACCATTCAAAGTAACTCGACTTTGCATTTAATATAACCAAAAATTCACTGTGGGTAACTGTATCACTCCACCAGTTGATCTCGTCTAATGCAGACTTGAAAAGCAATCAGGGTCCCTTTGATTACAAAGATAAAATTTAAGTGGAAAGAAAACGTATTCCAGGTAATTGAATTATCTATAAATTATTTTATTGAAAATTGTCAATTATTATGTTTGATTAGTATAATTTTTCACGTAAAAGATGTTGAAATAAAAGTATTTTTTGGTATGTTTTTCACTTTATTTTACATGAAAATTATCAATTAAAAGTATAAAATTTACTGGTATTGAGAACATAATTTATTTCCTTCCCCCAAAAAAAGCCAAAAAAATTATCTATCTTTTAGTATTCGTTTGTCTTTATTTTACATGTAAATTGTCAATTATGGTGGGAATTGATTTTCAAGAAAACCAAGAAAATATCTGGGTGGCAAGAAAACCAATTACCTGGAAAAAAAATGCTATCAAACAGTCAAAAAGTGGAAGTCGGAATTTGAGTTCCATTTTCCATCGAAAATAATGGCCTATCAAACAGGCCCTAAGAGTAATCAATCCAAGAATATTCAAATCCCAAATGACTTGATTTGATTAACCTAAACTGGATTTACTCCCAGATACAGACCTGGGTATTGGATGACTAAGAGATGGCTGGGAATTCGCCGGCGGACTAAACATGGCATTAGCTACCGCAGAGGAAGGGGGAGGGTGCATGGCTGAAAGGGGCAGCCGCTGCCCAAGTCCATACATCCCGTGTTGTTGAATGAGTGATGTGTGGGGATGGACGGGTTGATTACTACCGTACCCAGAAATGAAAGGCTGTTGAGATCCCGAAACTTGTTGCCTATTATTTCCTGAGGCATTATTTACGACGGCAGTAGCGACGGCTTGTTGACGAGTGGAAAATGAAGGTCTTCTATGTTATACAGATATTTTTTTCCCAAAAATTTGTAATTCCTTCAAGGATGACAATAGCAATAGATATATATAACTTGCTTCTAAATGACAAGAAGAAATTGAAGAAAGAGTTGGGTCAACATAGAGTTTGTTTGACTACTGATTGTTGGACGTCAATATAGAATATTAGTTATTTGTGCTTAACTGCTCATTAGGTTGATAATGATTGAAGACTTCAAGGAAAGATTATAAGTTTCATTCAAGTCCCAAGCTATAAGGGAGACATGGTGAGAAATGAGTTGACTTCTTGTCTTAAAGACAAAAGAATCAATAAAATTAAGTGGCTTAAAGTATGTAACTTTCTATAAGTTTCTTGAGGACTTTCTATGAAACGACTTTAAAATTTAGTGGCTCGAAGTATGTAACCTTTAACTCTTTCTTTCAAGAAATAGATGAAATTCATGGATAATTGAATGAATTAGCTAAAGAGTCTAACACTTTGATGGGATCCATGTCAATTAGTATGCAGAAAAAATATGATAAGTATCGGGCCAATGTTGAAAAGTTTAATTAGTTGTTGTTCATTTCAACATTTCTTGAGCCAAGGTGTAAGTTGGAACTTCTTAAAGTCGGGTTATAACTTATTTACGATGTAGAAATTGCAAAAATGTTGTGAAAAAGAGTTGAAGAAATACTCCACAAGTTGTATGCATGCTATAAAGAAATAGCGACCCCAATCACTCCACCATCGACTTCATCAAATGAGACCACCAGAAATAGTAGTTCAAGTCCTTCACAGCTTGTTTTTGGTCTTTCTGAACAGTTTCTTTCTACTTTTAAAGCTAAACTTATGGAAAACATGCAACTTGAGAAGAATGATTTGATTGATTATTTGTATGATCGTTGTAAAGATCTGATTAATCCCAAATTTGACATACATCGATAGAAAATTGAATGTGCGCAAGGACAAAAATTGCCTCCAAAATTGCCAAAAATGTATCAACAATTCAAATATCCACGGTCACTTCAGAGTCAGCATTTTTCACGAGTTGTCAGATTCTTGACTCTTTTAGGAGTTCATTGGGTGCAAAGATGGTTAAGGCCTTAACATGTATGTAGAATTGGTTGCATAGCATCAATGAACCTACAGTGATTTATCAATATTTGGATGACTTGGAGTAAGCTATAGAAGGTGACATTTGTTTTCTATTATCGATTTTGATATTTTTATGCATATTATTTACTAGTTGCTTGTTAATATCATTAATAAGGATTAGTAAATATTTTGATATTTGCATATTATATAGAAGTTGAATCATGTGTTACAATAGGGGACATTGATCCAATTTTTATTAAATGAGATGTTAGTTCTTTTGTACTTATTCCGATATTGTTGCTTGTAAAAGTTTGAGTACAGTGCTTGTTGCTAGATGCGAACTTAATAATATTTTTTTTGCCTTTTTGTTTATATATTGAATTTCAGATAAATATGAATATAATTTAACATTATTAATTCTCATTTAAATTTATATGTTAATTTTTTCAAACATATTATTATAATGTCGATAGGAAAATTGCGGATTAAAACTTAACTAAACCACAAATAATGGTTTGGTTTGATTTGAAAAATAAAATTATTTGGTTTGGTTTGGAAAAATTCAAAATCGCAAGAAATGATTTAAGTTGAAAATGTAACACAAACCGCCAAAACCAAACCTTGTTCACCCTAATTTTTGGGCTTATTTGCACAAAAGGATTTACGAATCAGGACCTGATCGTTTCAAATTTGACATTAACATCCTCATAGAAACATTTAAGTGTGAAAATAGTCCATGTCAACCATCCCTAACCCAAAATGCATTTAACCCATGTCTTCTAGCTAAGATCGAACATAGTAGGTCATCTTTTGCATCTGGGTCATTAATTTTCAAATTTGTGCAATTATATCACTCATCTTCAATTTGCTTGCAATAATTTTAGTAACTAGATTTGCAAGTAAATTGAAGTTGAGCGACTTGATTAAACAAAATTAAGCTAGGTGACCTAAATGCAACTCGTTGAATGTTCACTTACCAACAATGCATTTAATCCCATTATTTTTAATTTAAATATATTTTAAGTTGATTAAACATATTTACCATCTTTAATTTAAAAAAAAAAATGTCTTAGTTTTAAACCTTCAACATCAACTTTGTTATATTTTAGTATTGTGATAATAATACTTTGATTTTCTATAATAATGTAATATAAACATGAAGAGTATGAAAATTAAAATTAAAGCAAATGCTACTATTGAATGAGCGATATAACAGTTTTATAATCCTTATTAAACCATTATAATACATATTTATGTTAATTTATTTATCATTTGTTAATTGTATTCAAAAAGGCCAAAAAAAAAAAAAAGATAAATATTACAAAAATTAGAAGAAATGTATAGCATGTCACTTAGGTTCCATCAAGTTCGTTCATCGTGCGATCAAGTCATTCAACTTCGATTTGCGCAAAATTGACTGCACCGCCCACTTCCTGCTGCTGCTAATTACACTGGATTGATGAGCCAGAAATGTTTAAAAAAATAAAAATAATTAAAGTTGCATACTCATTTGCACGAAATTAAAGATGAGTGATTCAGATGCAACTCCACAAAAAGTCGGATGTCCCACAACGCATTTAACCCCTCAATAAACGCTATAAAAAATGCCGAAGAAGGTCAAAATGTCTAAAAGACAAATGATGAAGCAAACATTTCCCTGTTGTAAGATTCAAATCAAAATCAAGAATATCCATTAAATACAACTTTGTTGCTCCTAGTTTCCCGCTGATCATCTTCATTTATTTGTACACCACTACAGCTCCAAAATATATTCCCAGAATCCTACTTAAGGAATCAGCAATCGATCACGATAAAATTGTGTGTAACGATTCGATTTTAGTAATGAAGAACATATATGCACTTAGTAACCAATCAATGAACCATTCGAAGTTACTTAGTAACCAATCAATGAACCATTCAAAGTAACTCGACTCTGCATTTAATATAACCAAAAATTCACTGTGGGTAACTGTATCATTCCACCAGTTGATCTCGTCTAATGCAGACTTGAAAAGCAATCAGGGTCCCTTTGATTACAAAGATAAAATTTAAGTGGAAAGAAAACGTATTCCAGGTAATTGAATTATCTATAAATTATTTTATTGAAAATTGTCAATTATTATGTTTGATTAGTATAATTTTTCACGTAAAAGATGTTGAAATAAAAGTATTTTTTGGTATGTTTTTCACTTTATTTTACATGAAAATTATCAATTAAAAGTATAAAATTTACTGGTATTGAGAACATAATTTATTTCCTTCCCCCAAAAAAAGCCAAAAAAATTATCTATCTTTTAGTATTCGTTTGTCTTTATTTTACATGTAAATTGTCAATTATGGTGGGAATTGATTTTCAAGAAAACCAAGAAAATATCTGGGTGGCAAGAAAACCAATTACCTGGAAAAAAAATGCTATCAAACAGTCAAAAAGTGGAAGTCGGAATTTGAGTTCCATTTTCCATCGAAAATAATGGCCTATCAAACAGGCCCTAAGAGTAATCAATCCAAGAATATTCAAATCCCAAATGACTTGATTTGATTAACCTAAACTGGATTTACTCCCAGATACAGACCTGGGTATTGGATGACTAAGAGATGGCTGGGAATTCGCCGGCGGACTAAACATGGCATTAGCTACCGCAGAGGAAGGGGGAGGGTGCATGGCTGAAAGGGGCAGCCGCTGCCCAAGTCCATACATCCCGTGTTGTTGAATGAGTGATGTGTGGGGATGGACGGGTTGATTACTACCGTACCCAGAAATGAAAGGCTGTTGAGATCCCGAAACTTGTTGCCTATTATTTCCTGAGGCATTATTTACGACGGCAGTAGCGACGGCTTGTGGGCCCATGGATTGTGACGTTCCAGCTGGTCCAAACTGCGCCGACATCATGAGGGCTCGCTCGGCAGCAAACCTCTGCCTCATCCTTTCCATTTGTTCACATTCTCTCATTAGTAAGGTCTCCACTTCCGCAAACTGCTTCAGCTTCATCTCCAATCTCTTCATCTGAAAGAAAAGCGGAAACATCACTGAACTTGTCGGAAATTATCATGAAATGCTAATGCTTTAAGAAATATGGTTTTTCCTGTCCAATTTAGAGCATTGTCTTTATCCAGACAGAACACCAAAAGTGTTCAAGAGCTATGAAGGGATGGGTAGTGTTGAAGCAGATCTTATATCCTTCAGGTTAAAAACACTGGTGGTTACTGAATTTTTAGCAAATTTTCATTTTTGTCACTAAAATTCAATTTGATCCACTTCGTATTTGAACTTAAACTTGTTCAGATTGGTTCATTGAACTTAAACATTCATTATAATTTGGTCATTCCGTTCATGCCCACTGTTTGACCAATGGAGCGGCCTGGTTGGCAAATAACTAGACTGCTGCATCACATTTTCCATCATGCAAACAAATGGACAAGGACGGTGACAAAAATCTACTAGAAGTTTCAAGTCCAGTAACCAACTTGAAACAAATTGAGTATGAAAATTGCTATAAGTTTAGTTCCGTTTAAACCTATACCCTTTCTATACATGAAACTTTATGCAGTTCCTATAAAACCAAAAACATCAAAAACCTTAGATTAATTGGCACATAGCAGATAATTAGGAATACAGCATCAAAAACCTTGACAAAGTGATATACTCACCATTTTAATGAAAATATACCTTCCAAACAATTAGATTAATTCGGCTTATCATCATTGTACAACTAACTAGTGAACACCGTAACCACTATTATTCAAATTTAAGAACTTATTTAAAGGAGGGGTGGACAGGGTCCAGTTGCTATATTTCACGATCACAAGTAAAATCAACAATCCTCTGATTCTACGTGTTTTGTGGAGTTCAGTTCCAGACTTGTTGACAAGTGGAAGTTGTGAAAGCTTCGCATTAGCCTCACACATTAAACCAAGGAGATAAGCTTATACCAATTAGAATACTCATGCGTTAGAGATGACAGGAAGAATAATACTATAATATCAATTAGACAACTAAAAATTGCTCTAAGAGGAGGCCTTATTATGTAGATAAGTTGTTTCAGGATTACTGCATGCAACACAGTTTAGTGATAAGAAGTATCATTTAGAAAGCTGTGGCCTCAAAAATTAACTTAATGCTCCGAAGTATCCACGTCAATAGAAGAAAGATCAGAGGAAAATAAATAATAAGTGTATCCATGTAAGCGATAATAAATAACTAAAAGTATATCAACATGTTTGGTTAGTTCACTGAACATAAGTGGTACTTGAAGATTGATTAGGGATCGTCAGTTTAGGGAGAATTAATGAATTATTCTAGAGATATGAAAGAAAACAAAACTTACTCTATTCTAACTTGTAATTAACGGTAATAAAAATAAAACGAACAATTTTAGCATCTTTCAGATTTCAAAATGCATAGATGAGAAAACCTGGTAGCCTTCAGGGCCAGATGGTGGTTGGTATGCAAGTATTACTCCTGTTTAGTTCGGATATTATTACATGAAAGAACTATAGTGGAATTAGAACTAATTAAATTGCTTATAAGATACTGATTGAGGATCATTAAAAACATACTGACAGTTTACTAAGTCGAAGAATGTGAGGATCACAATAAAAATATTTTGATTAGTAAAACAAAAATTCATAGTATACCAAGTCATTACATATGCCAATTGCAGAAAAGCAATTTTATTTTTTATTTTCCTATCAGTTTCATGCTGACAATTCAAATTATACAGTCTGTTTGTACAATCAAAACCTATTGTGGCATTAATTTGAGCCCAAAAAAATGAGGGGATACTGGAATGTGATAATAATGGAAACAGAAAGCAAGGAACATGGAACTCCATGTTTAAAACCAGGACAAGAAAACAACTCAAGTTTCAATCCAGATTCGACTACGGGTTTTGACGATAAACGAAGAGAAAAATATAAACTCGACCAAATTATCAAATTTGGTGGTGATAAACATCGATGTATTGCTAATGTGGACGAGGGTAGGGGTGGTTATAAGTGGGCACTAGCCGTACATGTGTCACTTTTACCATGTTAAGGAATGGGGAGCAGGATGGGAAAACGAGTTCAGTAGATATCTTACGGCATATAACTGATCTGTTTTAGAGGAAATGATGAAGTTGTAAACTGTGAAGTGCAAAACTGAATGAACAAATTAGTGGTAGATGTAGTGATACTGGTACCAGTGGTAACAACAGTAGAACACAGAAGAGGATGTAAAGAAACAACATTAACAAACTGTTTCAATTTTGCTCAAGTTCTAAAATTTTGGCTTCATGTCCAAAAAGCAACAATTCAACCTCTCCCATACATAAGAATATATAATTAGAACAATAATGAATATCACAGCAAATTTTAGGAAGAAAAAGATAGTCGGGATATTTTCGAAGAGTAGAGCAATAACAAGGAATACCTGATGATTTACAATATTTGCAGATAACCGCTGAATTTCACGTTCTTCGTGATCAGCAAAAAGCTTTGCCTTTGTTGCAGCTGCTGCAAGACCAGCTTCAGCAGCAGCTCTCACACTTTCAGCAGATAACGGAACAGCTTCTGCATCATGTTGGCTCCGGGGAGCTTCTGAAAGAATCAGTGAAAAAAATTAGAAGAAGAAATGAGAAGGTCAACTTAATTTATAACTTACCATTTTTAGTAAAATTCATTCTCTCTCCATGAGGACTCTCTTCCTCATCACCATCCTTACATAATGCTCCCAAAGATGCATGAGCACAGGCAGCAGCCACTCTTGGCCCAAGTGCAGAGGCAAGAAAAGCAACCTTAAAAAGAAGAGCAGATGGGCTTTATTAAACCATATAGGGGGTGCATATACCATCAAAGAAGTCAGTAGTTGAGAAAACTCTAGTACTAAAATGGTAATAAAAAGGACTTGAGTGAGAATAGATAAGAGGATGAACCATAGAGTCACTTCACCTTGAACATCAGCACAGAAAGTGTATTCTTTCCATAAAAATTGTTTTTCGATTATACCGCTATTAAGGAGTGGATATTATGGTAACAAAACTTTGTTACATTTTTCCAATAGATGGCATTGGCCAAGTAAAGGAATGCAAGTCAAACCTCCCATAATGACATCAACCTCGGTGGCAAGGAGAGCGAGTGAACATGTGCCACAAGATAAGTAAAAATGACGTAAGCATAGTGATAAGTGTATTTTTACACACTTATTTAGGTCACAAACATGACTTAATTACGAATAAAATGATTGAATTGTGACTTAATTTCATTATATTTGTGAATTGTTGGTAACACCGATGAACATGGTGAAATACATGAGAAAAGACGCAAAAAAGGACTAAAATGACACAAAGTGAAAGTTCAAGGACCAAGGTGAAATTACCCAAAAGTTGACCCGATGAACAAATCAAGAAATTGAGTTTGCCAAATACAAATTGATGACATTTTGGGATGATGGAATGTGAAGAATGAAGAAAAGATGCAAAAAAGTGAAAGATTAAAGTAAAAGGACCAATTTGTAGGAAATGAAAGATTAATTCTACCATGCGATCGCATGGTAGAAACGTCTTGCGGCCGCACAAAGTGATGCAGGAAATTCAACTGGAAAAAAAGGATAACCATGCGACCGCATGAATTAAAACCATGCGGTCGCGTGGTACAATTTCACCGCGAATTTTTTCTTTCCTTATACAATTGAAATACCTATGGTAACCTAATTTTTCACGGGATATAAATATCAAAAACATTCCAGAGACGCCCGGAACGTAATTGGAGGCCGAAAAACAACTCTTGGAGAGGATTTGAGCGCAAGAACAAAAATTGGCACGAAGAACTTCTAGATTTATTCAAGTTTTATAACCCGGTGATGTCTTATATATAAACTTTAATGTATTTTGTTATTTTAAGCATGCTAGGCTAGATTTATTATGCTAGGAGATCGATGAACCATGTGATTTGAATTTTAATATTCTAGTTTTGCAATTTGATATTAAGACACAATTTTTATTATGTTGAATGATTTATATGCAATTAATGCTTCCGCAATTAAGGGCTCGTAATTGTGTGAATTTAAGTGATTTATTCTTGCATTCGAGAGAATTGGAATAGATTTGACATAATATAAATCATCGTAGGGTCCGATAGTGGATAAGAATATACCGCTATGTTCTACGTAAATCTTTAAATGTTCATAAAATCGCATGCATTTTTACATATGCTCTTATCATAGAAATATAGACTGGCGGTATATAGAGATAGGTTTGATATATCTCGAGAGAGAGTATTGGATAAACTTAGGAACATTGATTCGTCAAAATTGAAATGTGTT